TATATATATATATATATATATCTATTGAATTTCACCCAAGTCCACATCACTAAAGATCAAGATTCAGAAGAAATTTCAAGGAAATTAGCAATTTTAATTCAAATCATATTTATTATTACTATCAATGACAAGTTGATATGTGTAAATATCAAATATTTATAAATCAAATGAGTAAAATGTCAAAACAGTCTCTGACTATTTACATATGATTATTTTAATCCCAAAATTTATAAAAGTGTTAAAATAGTACATAGACTCTCTAAATTGAGCTTAAAATAGTTTTTATGAAGAACTATTTGTGTTTAATTTTAAAAAAAGACACGTTTATTTTTTACACTTTTTATAAATTCTGGGATTAAACGATTCTATATAAATAATAAAAACAATTTTAACATTGTACTCTAAATCCAATCCCAACAGGGCACTGGGAACCAACAGACGGCCCAAACCGGACCGGCTTTCCTTCCCGGCTCATCACAACTTATCGCATCTGGTCGGCTCAAACGACACCACCTCATTCTTTAGATCATACAATACGTGCAAATTCTGCTGCTGAAAATTCCCGAAAATGGACATTCCTCTCGATCCCATCACCGTCAAGCACAGCAATCCCGTCGGCCCGTCCAACACCATGTAATTCTCCGCCGGCAACTCCAAATCCCCTCCTTCGCCGTCGCCGTCGAAATGCAGCACGAGCTTCGGAACCTCCACCTCATCCTGCCCCGGTGGGGTTGAAAAACAGACATCCAATCCCACGTCACTCCCGTCCGCCGCCGGTAAATCCACCCCCTTTAAAAACGCTTTTTTGACCAGCTTATAAGCTGCCTCCTCCAAGTACGTTATCGAAGTCCCCGAATCAATAATAATCCCTCCACTTCCGTCACTCTGCAAATCAAAAGTCCCGTTGGGGATCGGCAGCACATTCCCCCCCACCGATATTCCCTTCAGTGACAGATAGTAAAAGCTCGGCTGCTCTGCATTCGTCAAAAGCTTCGCCGTCGAGCTCGGTTTGAGCTCCGCGAGCTTCCCGAAGAGTAAAGGACTCTCCTTTGATTCATCCAACGAAGTGAGACAGTAGGAGAAGCGGTTAAGGTTGAGTTGGGAGATGAGGGAGAGAGGTCCCCGGCCAAGTCCGACGAGCCCGGCGCCTTGCGAGAAGCCTGCACCCTGGTTGTCGTCGCCGCAGCCGAAACCGATGGCCGGCGCGGCTGTGGGGTCTGGCGAGCCGAGATGGAAGGAGCGGCGAGGACGCCCTGAGTGGATGAAGAATCGCCGTAAGTGTAGAGGTAACTGCAGAGGCCGGAGACGAGGGAGCAGGATGAGGTGGGGAGGGCGGCGCAGAGGGGGCTGGAACAGGGGAGGGTGGTGAAGGAAGAGGATTTTTTGGGGTTGAATAAGGGAGTGGGCTGCTCGAAGCATTCGATGCAGGGTTGGCATTGAGTCCAGATAAGATCACTGCCGGTGTCAACGATGGCGGAGAAGGGCGCCGGCGGAGTGCCGATCGATAGCTCCATTAAGAATTCTCCATTGCCGGCGTGGACAGGGGCCTGCCAAGAAGTAGCCAGCCGTTAATAAAAGATAGGGGCTCTCTAAATTCAAAAGTTAAGATGAGAATCGCGTCAGTATAACTTCCTAATCCAACGGTGGAGCTGCATTGATAATGGAAAGATTTACATACAGGCCCCCAAATTTCTTTTTATTTACATATCTAACATCCAAACTTTTATTTTTTACATACCTTTCATATATAAACTTAATGTCTAAGAAAACATTTTATTTTCATAGTTTTAAGCTATATAACATAAATTCCAGTTAAAACATCCGAACATAAGAGACAAAATTAATATATAAGAAAACATTCAATTCTAACTAAAAAATTATGATAAAATATTTGACATACTGAATATTGATCTGTGGCAGGAGTGTCTGCGGCAGATTTCACGAATCTCGCCGTCAATCGTGCGAGACGATGATGACTGCGCCGTGCGGCCCGTTGGAGGAGCTCGATTTTGGAGAAATTACGGTTGGCATCGACTCGAGTTAGCCCGACGCGGAACCCAGTTTTGGGGGTTGAACCAGCCCTGATCTGAAATATGATGAGCATGAATACAGAGATGAAGAGCAGTAGCCTGAGCCTCCATGTTGTTTCCATGAAAAGAGTTTATGGGGGCTATGAGTTATAGAGATGTGGATATATATATAAAGTTTGTGAGAATTTATTATTCTGGGACAAAAGCATAGGAGCTATTTTATATATTATTATTCTCATATAATTTGTCTTTTAATTAATTAATTAATTAATTAATTAATATTGTTTTTTTGAATCTGACGGCTCAGATAGAACAATGGGTATTGGTGAGCGACTTCAGGAATTGAAAATGGTCGTGGTTGAAGGGGTTGTGAAGAAGGGAATTTTAGTTTCAGCTTGGTTTTTTTTGGCGGAAGATGGTGCGATCAGAACCGTTGATGGGATGATGGACGATGGATATGGGTTGGAGGTTTGGTGAGAGGTTGCGTGTGCCGGCGGCTATTTTATGTGAATCGACAACCGAAAATTACAAAGGAGAGTAACATATCATCTGCTGAATATATATATATATATATATTTG